GCCCAGAGACAACAAATCCCTACAACTAAATCTAGGATAATCATTTCAGGAATAAAGAACAGAGAAAACAACTCACTAGACATGCGAAGAAACCGAGCACTTTATGAGTCACACTAATAATTAGTAAACTAATACAACATAGTGAGTTAGTTATTGCACTTCTCACACTATGTGTTAGGTTTATCTTGTCTTTCGTGATAGCTAGTAACAGTTATACAATTCACAGAAATTCATTCGAGGGTAGCCACTACTAATTCTTAAGTCTATTTTACATAGACATCTGTTACGAATTGTTTTTAGAACACTATAAAAGTTGGAACATGATGCACTCGGAACTATGATAACCTAGTTAGATATCTCCCAACTTATAGCCACTACTAAAGACTTATAACTGTCTCATCTTGTAAACCTTATGGTTGAAAGATGCCTTTTGTAGACCTATAGGGTGCGATCATACTAGCACTAATGCACCAGATCCCATCAGAGCTCCCCAGCTAAGCGTGCTTAGGCGAGAGTAGTACTAGCATGGGTAAACTTAACACTCGTACGAAACATAATCTACCCACTACCATAGCTCCATCTCAAGAATGTATAGCAGAAACATTGAGAATAGCTCAGCGAAACACGGAATTTATATACATGTATATAAATTGTAAGAATGAAACTAACAATGATCATCGTTACTCATGAGATTGTTTCTCGCCATGCAACAGAATCATGTCTTCACATGGAGGTAATCAGCCAATCGGCGAGACACCAATTCTACAAATAGACTCCGGTACTTTTCAAGTTGTAGTCACAGCGGTCGTAACAGCCGTCATGGCACCACTCAATGATACCAACGCCAGTAAAAGAGGAAGCAGTGCTGAAAATACAAATCGTGATAACAATCAAGCACACCAGTGAGTGTCTACCAACCAGGACTTCTCAGAACGCAAACCTAAGAACAAGAAGCGTAAATTCTGTAACAAGAAAGAGAAATATTCAACTCAAAGTCCTACCAAGAGATAACAGCCTGTGGCTATCCCTGCAACCAAAACAGCTATCACAACATCTGCCTCAACATCCTCCATGACATCTATCACTCCAATTCCTATCAGTCAATGTCTTGGAACACTTCCGAAGTGTGACAAGTGCAATTTCCATCATAAGAGAGTATGTCGCATGATACATTGCAAGAACTACAACTGGAAGGGGCACACTGCCCATTTCTGTAGGACTCCGGCCTGACACATCACCTCGACCACTAATGCTAGTGTGAGCCCAGTATGCCATCTATGTGGTGAAACACGGCACTTCAAGAGGGACTGGCGAATCGACAGGAATGACAAAGAGGCAGGAGGAGTTTGACAACCGAACCAGTAAAGTCACTCAGTCGACAGTTTTATCAATCTTAATTACACTTGAATGGTATACACCAAGCAATCATAGAGGGACCTGGTAGGTATCATAATATGAAGTATCATCACTAGCTATCATAACACTCTTACTACTAGTACTCGCTTGTTGTGGTACAAATCGTTTATATTAATAATAACACAGATAAAACAGAATGCACTATCAAGTACACACAGAATGCACTATCGGGTATACACGGGATGCACTATCTCTCTAACAAATGTTTCTTTCAAATCAACTTAGCACGCATTTCACTAAGAAGTTTCAATGTCGTCATTTGTGGTCCTCGTCGTACCGATTCCATGTGCTACCAAAGAGACCCTCATCTTCACCAGCCTACTAATGTAACCCCTTTCACTCATAATGACAAACCCGACTCAGACCTCAGAATCATCTCTAGTTACAAAACTTATCCGAAGTATTCCCAGTAGACCTATCGAGAATACCACTCGTGCAGCAAGTCTAGCTAAAGCGCAGAGGCTAGAGAACAATACGGTTAACCCAACATTACTAAGTGTATACGTGAGGGTGGTATATCATTTAGATTCTACATACTTAGGGTGTGTGTTTCCACCCTAACTCCTGTTCTATGTTTGGTTGTGGACCTGGGGTAGAGTCACACATCTGACCGTCTTATTAATCTTAATCATATACGACTTGTATACACGAGGTGATGATAGATAAACCATGTATGAGTCTTACCATGAACTTCAAGACAAAGATGCTCAGGACTTCAAGTGAGCACCTACCATTTGGATGAACAGAGACAAGTAAACCGAACCCGTACACACCTTACCGATTAGAACAGCAGACAAAATAGTGAAGATCTATTTGGACACCAAGGAAGGATCATAATTCACTCGGAGACGAAAAGATCACATGAAACAGAAGTACCCACCTCTCTCCCTAGTTTATGAGTAACCACTTAGGAGTTGAATTTCAAGATGAAATTCCCTCTAACAGGGGGATGATGTCACAACTCAAAATTTTATAACTAGGACGGTCTAAACCCTAACCATGTACTAGTGTAAACCATATTGCAATTCTTGCTGCATTGTATCCTCTATTGCCTTAATGGCATGTTTGTGATTTGAGTAATAAGCAAGGTTTGAAACCTAAGTTGGTTTATGTTAATATAACATAACATAAGTTAAAAGGTTATCGTTTAAAACATAAATATACACCCTATATTGGTGAATTCAGTCTTCAGAATCTTTTCCAAATGGAGTTTCCGGCCACCACAAACCAAGGAGAATTCGGTCAAGGTGTGACCGAATTCACAAAGTAATGCCCAACAAGGACCGAATTCCTCAAGATCATGGCCCGTTAAGACCGATTTCCCACCCCTATATAATTGTGTTCAACCAAATTCAACTTCATTTCCTACTTTTTCACATTGAATCCTTGCCAATTTTTCTCTCAAACCTCATAAGTTTTCACCCACATTCTCTTCAAATCTTCATAACATTATTAAGAACACACCTAGAACACCAAGAACATTCAAAAAAATCTTCAAATCTTCAAGCCTTGACCGAAAATCCTATATCACCACAAAAAACACTATTTAGCCCACCGAATTCATCCTTCAACACTTCCAACTATTCCAAATTAATTTTGTAATTCCTCCTTATATAATTAACTTATTATTTAACCCCATTATTTAAATTATTTTATTATTAATTTAAATACAACATCGAATATAGTTACTTTAAGAGAACGTTATTCGCACGTACACTAGCCTGAGAATCATCACTATTGTTTCACTACCGCTACGCTATCCTAACACGAATACACACTAGTGGGGGGATACAAGTAAGACACAAAGTAATTTATGTATTAACTTTCAAAAGATTTCAAACAGTTTTAAATCACATAAGGTCGTTTCAACTGATTCAAATTATTTTAGAAGGGTTTCAAACTAATTCAAATGTATTATAATTTTTATTCCAAGTACATATTTATATGTATATGCCTTATGCATATATGACTATAATTTTATTTAAATATAGTTTTAACCATTTTATAAAATGTCGAGCAAAAGGGTACCTTTCTCATCATTTTATCGAGTTATACAAACTGTTAAATTACAAAGATTTTCAATGTATACAGAAGTCACAGAACATGGAGTTAACCTATATTAGGTATAGTTTATGGAACACTACTCTATGTCACAGCTACAAGGATACACTAATAAAATAATTATTTAAGTATAATAACTTTACACTACAAAGTAAAACATAGTGTTTCAATTACAAGAGAACACTATAACAATACATGTAAATCAGTTGATACATGGTTTGAGGCACTACTTCGGGTACCCACCAGGGTACAGGTTCAAGTGATATAAATTATAACTAGAGTCTCCCGGATGGAGAGTGTGAGATTTGTGTATAGATCTATACGAGACTGGCCACATTAGATCTTCTTACAACAACTAGGTCGACAGACCTAAGGTGATAAATGTCATAAAATACTGACGCCTGAGGAACATCCTAGAGCCCACTGGGTCGTATTAGCATGGTTATATGAAACTCAAAATAGTATAAACAAGGGTTACAGGATTAACACTAATTCAAAGATTTTATTTTAATATTAAATCTTCTCTACACTACTTTCCTAGTAAAATACACTTACATTTTGGGAAATCATTCATACAAATGTTTTGATAACTAATCAAACTATAGTACACTATTTTACACTACTTCTGGTGGATCCCAAGAACTATTACAAACACTATAGGATAGACATTACACTACATTTCTAGTACATAACATATTTTTCTGAAAGAACGTTTAACTATGTGCATACACACAAAATGGGTTGCATACAAACTTGATTGCAATTCAATATTTTTACAAGTGCTAGTCAACAAAACTTTTATTTTATTACATCAGAAAATATAGGATGTTCTGCAGGAATAAACTAAGGTTTTCAAGGGACAAAGATCATACTTTCTGAATACAAACGCTTACGAGCTCACCAACTTTAATGTTGACACTTTCAAAACCACTTGTATTCTCAGGACACTAGTAGACAGGTACACACACAGGGTTCTAGAAAACATATTATGGTAGCTCCAAGTCATTATTTTGCTATTTACTTTTGGAGAGAATCATATGTGATTCAAACACTACTAGAAAAAAGGCCTTTTACGACGCTCATTGCGTGTCGTAAAACGCTCAGACGACGCGCAAATGCGTGTCAAGGAAGGCCCTGTCATAAAGAAAGACGACGCGCATTTACGACGCGTGGTTATGACACGCATTGTGTATCAAGGAAGGCCCTGTCATAAAGGTAGACGACACGCATTTGCGTGTCGTAACCTTACAACGCGCGTTTTTATGACACGCAATGCGTATCAAGGAAGCCCCTGTCAAGAAAGGCCATGTCATAAATGAAGATGACACACATTTTTGCGTATCATAATTTTAAATGTTCTAAAAAATATATTTATATATTTATTAATTTTTAAATTAAATTTGCATTTAATGTCTCATAATAGAAATAAAATATCATATACAAAAAATACAATCCATTGCATAAAATTTAATGTCATACAATTCTATTTTTTACAATATCTAAATTTGCATCTAATCTACTCTCTACATCAAATTCCGACTAAGTAAAGTTGCATCTTGCCTTTCATAATTCTTTAAGACTAATGCTGCAAGATTTGAATCAAGTGGCTTCATATTCCTTTCTTCCACCAACTTTACCTGATGCACAAAATACACAGAAACAAAAAAAAAACATTGTAGAGGAAGGGGTAATTTGGGAAAATGTGAGGGGTATCCTCTGCAAAACAAAACAAAAAATATCCTTTGCAAGATTTGCTCTTTAGTATCCTCTGCAAAACAACATAAAAAAATATATATCAAAAAATTAAATTTTTTATAGTTTTATATTATAATTATGCCTAGAGTATTGCATACCTGAAGAACCATTTGTTAGCTCTACAACACTTTTTGAATCTGATGTTGTATGTTGATATAATAAACAAATAACTAAAGGTAGGTTGCTATTTCTTAAAAAGTAATTCAACTTTGGCATATTATAGCTTACCTTCTCTGTTGGTGGCAACTGCAATGAGTTCTTTCACGGCTATATCAGAAACAAGATAAAACTACAGAAAAAAAAATGTAGGTTAACTCAGCAAATGATAAACCAATAGTTGGTAATTTACAATCTTTCTTTCATCATACAATCTTTATTCTTTAGGTATAATGTATTTATTAATCCAACAATATTGACATTATGCATAACTTGAATTCAAATATAAATTAGACAAGATATAATGTCTTTCTTAAGCAAATAGTTCAATATGTTACCCCACTATCGTTGACTATTAAAGAAATTAGGGCCAAATCTAACAGTAGAATGTTTATGACAATTAAGGCCTCATTTGGAAGCCAGCAACAGTAATACAAGCTAGAAAAGAGGGAACAGGTGGTGTTTTTAAGTTATAATTTTGTATAGAAAAGGCAAAACTTCTATAACAACTACTAAAGCAACTGAAGTTAATATCATGATGCCTTCCTCAGATCCTGATGCTGATCTGGTATGCTTGCTTCCAATTTATTTTTCCCACTGCCACTGCCAAGTGTTAGCAGCTTCTCCACGTGTTCGAATACAACACAAAGCCGTTTTACATCTTGGATTATTTCCATATCACCCGGTAGCTTGTTTGTTGCCAATGCAATAAGTCAGATTAAAAAAAATGACTACTTTACCCTTGTGTCAAAAAATTGTAAATAAGACATTACACATACCTTGCAAAGGCTTCAATGCAAAAGCAACGGTGAAGTATAATTGGTCGATTTTTATTCTCATAAGCTAGTCTGGTTAAGAGTGTCAGCTGCAACTCTGAAAGCAGTACACACCATTTGCTCCAGTAATTGATGTGGTCTTACTATTTCCAGATAATGAAGTATATGTATAGATATTGGATGATGTTAGTTTCATTGATCATGGAGGGTAAATGTGGAAAAATAAAAAAAAATGTACCTTTTTTCTTCTCTATTTGGGTCCATAAAATCATCAAACAACAAAAAGTTAGGGGAATCATCAGAGATAAAAACACCATTTTATGTAGTACCTAAAGATAAGATGTCCTTCTCCAACTGCCCAAAGAAGCTCTAACAAAAATTATACACAATTTTCAGCAAAGAAATTCATTTTATAAAGCCTAACGTAGGGTAACACAGCAGCAAAAAAGAAAGAAAACCCAATACTCAAAGATGATAATTGGATGTTAAAAGACTGAATATGACAGGAATATAAAGTGGTAAAAGACTGAAACAAATAGAAGATATGACATGATATGAAGAAAAGAAACTTGAAAAAAAGTAGTAAAGCAATTGAATCACTGAATGACTTACTTCCTCAATCTACAATAGTAATAGGTCAGTTAAAGGGTACACTAAATAGCAATACTTCTTTTTAAATCTAGAGAATTTATTAAACTTGTGAACATAAATTGAAACCAAATAAATGGGGAAAAGAAGAACCAAACCCCATATCCTTTTGCTACTGACCTGACATGTTTTCATCAGCACTAACAGAAGAATCCTTGACATTTTTATCACTAAGAGAGGGTTTTTATTTGTCCTTTTGAGCTAAAGTTCTGACAATCGTTGGAATTGGTGGTTTTCTAGTAGATTGGAGAGGATTGGATTTAGCCTTTAGGAATATATATACATATTTTATATAAAAAAATTAAGAAACCAAATAAATGGGGAAAAGAGATAGTAGCTAACCTCAGAAGAATGGAGTCCTTTCAAACTAGACCACTCAATCTACTTATCATCCTTCCAGACAAGAGTTGGCCTCACATGCCATGACCTAACAATTGATGTCTTTCATTGAGCTGGAAAGGGAAAAAAGGTAAAAACTCAACACAGTTTATAAATTTTGAAGGAAAAGTCAGATAACAATACCTACCAGGAAACTGGACAGTTAAAGAAGTCAAATCAATCTTATTTGTGTCCATAACAATTGCTTCATGCCAGCTACAAAAAACAGTAAAAAAAATAGAGTTTGTGATGATTAATAAGTATTAACGATTGAAAATGTAATGAGTTGAGTTAAATGGTTACCTATCTTGTACCCAAACATCAACTTGATCTCCACTACTCCAAGCATAATCTGAAAAGACTGTTATGCCCCTCTTTCTACTCCTTTCAAACTGCATGGTGGTCACATCAATATTCAATGCTCTTGTGCTCCAAGCTAATAAACAGTTACCATCATTTGATAGAGAGATACAGTTCCATCAATCCGGATGTCAAATGTCCGTACAGTTCCGTCAACACTTCCAGCAATAATCTCAGTTTTTGTTAAACAGATAGACATAACGCTGTCTAGAAAGGTGTCAATGATCTGTGAATCAATTAAAACTGTCATCAACTTTTGATAATATAAATATATATAAAAAAACTTAGTACAAACGTAGATGTAGAAAAGGGAAAGGGAAAGGGAAAGGGAAAGAAAGCTAAACCCGAATTGGCTCAATGCTGTGAGATCTACAGTCCCAGGCACGTAAGGAACGATCATACCCTGCTGATACAACAACAGATGCATATTCATTGAACTTTACTGCATTCACCTGCACAAAAATCGTGTTATGATTGTGAAATTATAAATATGTGTTATGTGATTGATAAATTGGTTTGTTAGGGAAATTACACACCTCACTGTCGTGACCTCGAAACTTTTTGATCACACGCCCAGTCGATTGGAAGAAGGAGGTTCAATTCAAATCATACTAACTACTCATTAGAACCAGCATACACGAGTGGTAAAAGTGTAGAAGAAGGGGAGCCTTTTGGCTGAAATAAAGATTCACCATCAAATTCCTTATTATTTCCTAGTTTTTTTGTGGCTTTGATTTTTCTGTCAGTTGTGCTAGCACCAATTGTTAGAACCCATGGAGCTATATTTGTTGCAGTGCCATTGAACGGACCTGAGTTCCCTGTTGCACAACTCACAAATATTCCTTTTTGGATAGCTGCAAATGAGGCTATTGCAATGTTGTCTTGAAAAAAAGGCATGTTTTTTCTCCAATAGAAATTGATATCACATCAGCTCCATCAGCTACTGCAACATCAAGCCCGGTTAAGATGTCACTCTCTGGCCAATCTAGACCAAAACATACTTTATAAACCGCCAGATGAGCATAAGGTGCCATCCCGACGGCTAATATTTCACTCTCTGGGCAATCTGGACAAAAAAGTAGACCATCGGTTCATTTTTTGTGATGGAAGTTTCGTTTGAGCAATTCAACGAACAGTTGGCATGCATTGTTCGAACAAAAAAATTCAAAAAAATATAACAGGTGATAGTTACACCAAATCATCCACCATGGTTGATTAATCGATAGACCGACTCTCTATCTCAATTTATTGGTAATTACAAGGAGAGTGAAATAAAAAGGAAAGGGGGGAAGTGGTAGCATAGGAAAGAAAAAAGTTCAGAACTTTAAAATCATGTCTACGTACCTTCAAAATTGAAGCCAAAAAACTCAAAACTGTTGATTCGTGGCTGGAATCGTTGTTGTGGTGCGATGTTGGAATGGTGGAGTCCGAGAGAAAACACAAATTATGATGGGTAGCTATCGTTGTTGGTAATGCATGATTCATCAAAAGCCCTAGTTCTTCGGTCAATCGTCTATTTTGTGAAAGAAGATATTACCATTGCAAATGCGTTATGTCTGATTAGGGTTTGCATAGAGAAGGAGTGAAAGTCGATCGTAGAGGAAGGGGTTTGTAGAGAGAAGGAAGGGAGAGAATGAAATCGATCTGGTGGGTGTAGAGAGTACAGAGGAAGAGGAAGGCGGATGTTCAAAATTTTGGGGGGAAGGAGAGACGAGAAGGTTGAGGTTTCGATTAGGGGTTGTTCAACAGGTAGCTTCGATTGACGGTTGATGAGTCGTAGTTGTCGATCAGCGCTACAATCGAAAGGAGTTGCAGTCACTGAACCATTTAACGCGAGGATCGGGTTTGATACTAGAAGAGGCAACGAGGATTGGAGGCAATGGATGTGGGTGAGGGTGGAGACGAGGGAGAAGAAGGCGGGGGTTTAAAAAATTTGGGGATTTCATTTTCCCTCTAAGGAGAAGTGAGAAGCGCGTTTCTTAAAAAAATATAAAACGACATTCATAGACGACGCACCTTTTAGCTAAAGTGCCCTCCGTGTTTTTTATTTTTTTACATTAGACACTAATTTAAGGGCATGCAATAATGCGCGACCTAAATCCTTAAATTTTTTGAAGAGATGACACTTATTTAACGTTACTCTCTTTTGCGTAACATATATCTCCGAGTGTCGTTGTTTGCGCATCGTAAAAGGGTCTTTTTCTTGTAGTGAAATACAATGTAAATTCTATAATATTAATAAAATGGTTGTTGTTGCTTTCATTACTATTATGAAATTTTTTGTGATACTACACATGATGTCCTTCGCCCCCGAACGTTTCCGCCGTGTCGTTTTGGGGGTGTGATAGATTGGTATCAGAGCATTGTTTACTTTCAAAACAAGTGTGGTGAATTTACGTATATACCCTTATTTTCATTTTTCACCATTTGACTCGTTCTTATTGTCGCTGCAAATAATCTCACTCTTTTTTACTTTCAGTACGAATAGATTATCATTTGAGCAATTTGGTGCTTTTTTGGCAAATATGAAGTAATTAAACTCACACATGCAAACAAAGGAGGTATTTGTAAGCATAATATTTTTTGTTTAATTATAAGTAAGTTACTTACAAAAAAACTATGAATGTCATTTTATAAAAACTTATTGTTATTACATATACGAAGGGATTTTTCGTAATTAAGTCATTTCAAGTATGAGATTCATGATGAAAAAGGACCGAAACAATATTGTTAACATTTCATTCTTTTTAGAAGATCACTCAAAGTAAATTCTCAAAAATTCTAAAAGAATTTATTCTTTTAGTAATTGTTTATATTTTGGTTAGGCTAAACATGTTTGTTGGGATGACTATGATATATTAAATGGGAAACCAACTATAGTTGCTATAGTGTGTGTGTGTGTGTGTGTGTCTGTCCCTCTCTCTCTCTCTCTCTCTATATATATATATATATATATATTGTAACAGCCCGGAATTTCCAGGTATCTATTTTGGAAATATTTATTAAAATTGTGAGTGGACTCAGCGAGTTGGAGCTCAAACTCGCCGAGTAGGATCGCGGATTTGGGCACGGGTTCGCGTCTGGACTCGACGAGTCCAAGAGTGGACCCAACCCTTAGAAAGAAACCCTTGAGTGCTTGAACGTTTTGAGAGAGTAAGGAAGCATTCATAACCTTGTGTGTGTCATTTAGCAAAGAAGGAGAAGATTCTAGGCAAGAGGAAGCAAAGGAGGTTGCTATTTCGTGGATTTGAAGCTTAGATCATCAATCTAGAGGTATGATTTCAGTTTATCCTCTGTTTTGTAAAGTATTATGGGATCTAGGGTTTCTTATGGACATTTATGGGATGATTTGATGCCAAATAGTTCCCTTCTTGTGTTGAGGCTCTGGATCTGGAACCATAGAGGTCCAAAGAGCCTCACTCATCAAGCTTTACGTATAGCAATGGAGTTTATGACCTTGTGTGGTAGTATTTGAGTCAAAAACATCATATATGGTCATATAGAGATTGTATGTGCATCAAGATTGTGGCTTTACGTGCTAAATAAGCTTGGAAGGACTGGATCTATGGGTTAATGGACTGGATCTGACCTTATGAGCAAGTTTGAGTCATTGCATGGCATGGACTCGCCGAGTCCGAAGAACAACTCGGCGAGTAGTATGAATAATGCCCGACCACACAGCGAGTGGTCTTGCCGAGTAGGGGAGGGTTGACTCAGTGAGTCAGGGGAATCAGAGTGGATAGGTGGATTGATTCAAGCTGGACTCGCCGAGTTGTTCTTGAGACTCAGTGAGTTGAGTCGTGGTGGCCCCACAACTCATGCCAGGTGGAACTCGTCGAGTTGGAGAGAATGCTCGACGTGTCAAGGGAGGATTTCAGGGAAATCAGTGTATACGCTCAGACTCGCCGAGTCGCCATAATGCACTCGCCGAGTCCGGTCAAAGTTGACCATTGACCGTTGACCAACGATTGACCTAAGTTGACTTGTTAAAGAGTAGTCAACCTTAGTTGGAAAGTGTTAATTAGAGATGTATTGTGATTTAGGAGGACTTTAGCTCGGGGATCGAGCACTAGTGATTTCAGGATTCACGACTTACCAAGATGCGAGGTGAGTCTTCTTACTATACTTTACCTTGAGTAGGTAACCAGAGTTATGTGATAGAGTGTTTGTATGCTATGTATGTTATGTGTTGTACTACATTATTTCTATGTGATTTATGTTGTGCATGTTTTTAGAGTTAGAACCTGAGGGTTCACAGAGTTTGGGTGCACGGACCCACGGAGTTATAGCCTCGAGTGGCTAATATGTGTTATATATGGTATTTTGGGGAACTCACTAAGCTTTGTGCTTACAGTGTTTGATGTTATTGTTTCAGGTACTAGTGACGACCGCGGGAAGGCGCTGACTTGATCCGTACACATGCACGGAGTTTATACCTTTGTGATCTTGGGATTTTGTATTTACTTAAATGGGATAATAGAATATGGTTGTTTTTATGAGTATTAAATGAATTATGTTTTATAAAAATTTGAAAATTTTGGTTTGAAATTTACGGTGTTACAATTTGGTATCAGAGCCTTGGTTTAAGGGATTCAGGTACACCTTCGGGAGTATTTGAACTCAAACTGAGGATTTGGAAAATATGTTCAAAAGAAAATTAAACTTTTCTAAGAGTAAAAGATTTTTAGAGAAATTCAAGGAAGAAACGTGTGTACGATCAGTCAGCGCCTGAACGGTGATTTCCCAAAATACCCTTATATTATATGTTTATGATGTATTCTCTTGCTAGAGTAGGCTAGGTATTCTTATTAGAACTAGAGTGCCCTGATTTGTGATGCCTTAGCCTAGGGAGTTGTGAGCTGCTATGAGATGCTTGAGAGCGACTAGGTAGCAGCAAGGAGCTTATGAGAGATCTGTTAGAGAGTGATAGATTACTTGGGATTTGGGATCCGAAGAGGAGGATTTGGGGTGTGTACTAAGATGGTGTGGACAGTAGTATTGGGCCCGTACTTTTGAAAGCACTGGGGGGGTGCACGGTCCAAGTAGGAATCTTCGGGATACCAAGAATCAAGGAGGGATGGGTTGTCGAGTGTAAGTATGCTCGAGCGTATTCTAATTTATCGTATGTTGTATTTCAGAGGTTGATCATGGTGAGGACACGTCATATGTCGGAGGGTGTCGGGGCTAGTGATGAGGAGATCCGACAGATCATTCATGAGGAGGTGGCTGCGGTCATCAGGGCAGAGATACCAGAGATGTTCGGGTCTATTAAGACCACACTGATCGAGACCTTCGACGAGCGTTAGGCTGCTCTTTCTGAGGTTGTGGTTGCGGTGGCCTCTGCAGCTGTTGCTGCTGCTAGGCCGCAGGGTGGTGACGCGTTGCTGTTCCGGGAGTTCAGCAACACGAAACCACCGGAGTTTGATGGGACCTAGGACCCGGTGGAGGCCATGAGATGGATTTTTGACATAGAGGGGTGTTTCTTCACTTGCTCATCTCCTGAGCATTTGAGAGTACGGTTCGTGCTGAACCAACTTCGATTGGTGGAAGTTTGTCACAGCACACTTTTCGCCTGCTGAGCTTGCGGCAGTGACCTGGGAGAGGTTCACTGCCATTTTCCGAGATGAGTATGTTCCCCAGGTGGAGAGGGAGCGTTTGGACCAGGAGTTTCTGACCCTCAAGCAGGGCACTGAGTCTGTTACGGTGATCACCAGGATGTTTCACGAGAGGGTGATGTTCTGCCCTGAGCACGTGTCCACTGAGCAGGCACGTATGAGTCGATATTTGAGTATTTTGAGACGGGAAATTCGGGAGTTCATGGCGAACTCCTCATACCGGATATTTGCTGAGCTTTAGGCAAATGCTCGGAAGAGGGAGATTGAGCTGGAGACCCAGGC